AAACCATGACCGATGATCAAACCATGTTGAACGATCCAAGGAACGTTGAATCCTGCCACTAGGGGGTGGCACCATCCGTCCTTTTATCCTCAGAATATGCCCCTAACGAGCCCCAGCTGCATAATCTTGCATCCCGAAAAGACTCACAGAAGACTGCTGCTGAGTCACAACACCTAGCTGTCTATTTTATGTAAATTTCTGGATCAAGAAGTGATAAAATATCCTCAATAAGTCATAAGGCATGAGGCTTTAGTGCAGGGGAGATTGTTTAATATTTGTGGGGTTAGGATTTTAGCAGATAAGATGATGAAATTCTCATCGCCCAGACTTGTGTTTTTTGAAATTTTGAGGCCATTTTTTCAATAGAGTTCATACTTGCAATACACATTTTTTTTTAAAAAAAAAAATCATTCCTCAAAATTGCAGAAATCCATATTGCCAAAGTTTGGTAGCGTATTTGGAAAGGATCTTTAAAAATTGCAAAGAAATTATTGAGGGTCATTCTGGAATAACAAATAAGTACTTTAATCTTTCTTAGAAGAGAGGAAATAGAGGTAGTCTTCACTTAATGACCAAAGTTACAAAAGACTTTTTAAAAGCTACTTACAACCCATCCTCAACGTTAAGGCTGCCATATTCTCCCTTCCATATAGTTATATGATCTCATTTTGCATGCTTGTCAACTGGCTTGCATTTACAACATATGGCAATGTCCTGTGGTCACATGACTGATTTGTAATGATTTTTGCTGTTCCCTTGCAAAAAATGGCAAAAAACCCCACCTATTAGATATACTGGATTTGCTTAACAATCACATGATTCACAGTGACTACACTGACTCATTTTACAACCATTGTAAAAATGGTCATACAATCTAATCCAGTCATGTGGTGCTTCAACTTACAACAGCAGTTACTTATAACTGAAATTCCATGTACCATTGTGGCTGTAGGTTCACAACTACCTGTATGTTTTTAGCAATAGATTTTGTTAGGCCATACCTACGCTTGTTCTCATCTTAAAACAATTGTTACAACACTAATATTATTAATTACATTATTTTGAAAGACTTCTATGATTGTTCACAGAAACATACCAAATCAGAGATGGAATAAAGGTCTTTCATTTGGAAGTACATCACTTTAAACTAGATTGATTGAGTCTAGAATCTGTATTATTTTAAACGCTTATGATTAGTTTCCGCTAAAATGTTTTTTTTAAATTTCTTTATAGCCATGGTGAATCTACATCATTAAAGGGCCATACTGCCCCAGTCCGCAGTGTGAACTTCTCAAATGACAGTCAGTTTCTAGTCACTGCATCTAATGACAAGTCAGTGAAAGTGTGGAGCATTTGCAGCCAGCATCTTTTGCATTCTTTATCCCAGCATACACACTGGGTGCGTTGTGCAAAGTAAGTTTTTTTTAAATTCATTACCTTCCTAAAGATAATTGCTTTTCTCAATGACTTCAAAATATATTGTGAAGATATGGATGCAGCATCCCTGCTAAAGATAATAGTCTGGGCGTCCTGTAATCAGTGCCCTGAATTCTAACATGGGGAAAAAGTTGGGTGCAAATTCACAAATAGGTATGTTCTTTTACTCAAATACTATATGAGTATTTGAAGTTGTCCCAAAAGGAAACAGGTAATGCGAGAAAAAAGTGTATTTATTTATTTATTAAATAGATATTATATGGCCACCCATAAGGATAGCATAAAATAAAAAACATAAAAATAATTTAAAATGATAAAAACAATACCAAAACAATGAGAATATTACACTTAGTACAGTCAACAGGCAATTATCAGGGAATCCCCAAGCTTGTTAAAACCATCACATTTTAAGGATTTTCTGGAAAGGCCATGAGATCACCTAATCTGAGGAGGGATGATGTTCCTAGGCTTGCCTCCTAGGTTATCAGGTGGAACTCTTTGGCAGGTGGGATCTGAAGCATGCTTCTCCTGCCGAACGTGATCAGACAGGGAGATGTAATCAGGCAGAAGCGATCCCTCAGATAATCTTCCTACATGCTAGGCTTTGAAAATCAAAACAAGCACTTTGAATTGGACCCTGAAGCAGACTGGTAACCAGTGCAGCTCACAAAGCAGAACGTGTTGAACCAGTTGAATATGAACTCCTTTATTATCACCAATTTTATAATTGCAGTTTACGTAAGTATTATTTGTAAATATATAGATCTTTACCCCTACCTTTATTTTTTTTCCTTTCTAGATATTCACCAGATGGAAGATTAATAGTATCTTGCAGTGAAGATAAAACTGTTAAAATCTGGGATATAAGAAACAAGATATGTATTAATAATATAATAGATTATGATGGGTGAGTTCTATTTATTTAAAAACAAAGGAAAATATTTTATTGATAATTATAGTTATATCAGCAGGTGTTATATTAAAATTCTGTTGTGACTCACAAAAAATAAACCTCTGATTCCTTTTATTTTGATTGTCTTAAGGCTATCTTGTTACTCAATTTCTCCAACTTGTGACCAGGACTTCCTGTAAACACCATGCAACAGCAATTCCTTTTTTTTTAATTGAATACCCCAACTACCTTTGAATTCACTGTATTCCTTAATAAGCATAAGCAAAGATTATTTAGTGCTGGACAAGACAAGGATATCCCCATTCCTCCTCCTTTCTCCTGCCCATTCAGAGGCTTGAAATTAGAAGTACATTGTAATAAAACATTTTTTCATATATGTGAATATTATTGCCTAAGGTATTTTTAATTCTCTGTGTGTGCATGTCCGTGTGTGTGAAAGAGAGAGAGAAAAAGACAGA